TTAAAAAAGACTTACCTGAAGAAGAAAAAAAAAAAAAACTTACATCAACATAAGATCTTTTCTTAAAATATAGACCTTACCTGAAAATATAGACCTTACATGACAATGTAGACCTTACCTGAAAATATAGACCTTACATGAAAATATAGACCTTACATGAAGATATAGACCTTACAGGAAAATATACACCTTACCTGACAATGTAGACCTTACCTGAAAATATAGACCTTACATGAAAATATAGACCTTACATGACAATGTAGACCTTACCTGAAAATATAGACCTTACCTGAAAATATAGACCTTACCTGAAAATATAGACACCTGAAAATTTAGACCTTACCTGAAAATATAGACCTTACATGAAAATATAGACCTTACATGAAAATATAGACACCTGAAAATACAGACCTTAACTGAAAATATAGACCTTACATGAAAATATAGACCTTTCCTGAAAATATAGACCTTACCTGAAAATTTAGACCTTACCTGAAAATATAGACCTTACATGAAAATATAGACCTTACCTGAAAATATAGACCTTACCTGAAAATATAGACCTTACATGAAAATATAGACTTTATCTGAAAATATAGACCTTACCTGAAAATATAGACCCTACATCAAAATATAGACCTTACATGAAAATATAGACCTTACCTGAAAATATAGACCTTAACTGAAAATATAGACCTTACATGAAAATATAGACCTTACCTAAAAATATAGACCTTACCTAAAAATATAGACCTTACATGAAAATATAGACCTCATGAAAATATAGACCTTACCTTAAAATATAGACCTTACCTGAAAATATAGACCTTACATGAAAATATAGACCTTACCTGAAAATATAGACCTTACCTGAAAATATAGACCTTACATGAAAATATAGACCTTTCATGAAAATATAGACCTTACCTTAAAATATAGACCTTATATGAAAATATAGACCTTACATGAAAATATAGACCTTACCTGGAAAAAAAAAACTAACCTGAAAATAAGACCTTACCCGACATAGACCTTACACGAAATTGAGACCTTACTTGAAAATATGGGCCTTACTTGAAAATATGGGCCTTACTTGAAAATATGGGCCTTACTTGAAAATATGGGCCTTACTTGAAAATATAGACAGCCTAAGAAAGGACATAAATATATTTAAAAAAAAAAAAAGCCCTAGCATGATATCTTTGAGAATGTTGATAATATTTACAAGTCCTAGCTGAGACCGTCAGCTAAAAAAGGGGCTGATTTTGTCAAACGTTAAAAAATATAAGACCTAATGAATTACAAAAGTTTTCTCAGAGCATTATTTAGCGGTATTAGAATAAATACAGATTTTTGTACTTTATGAAATCTCAATTGCTTGTACTGAAATATATGTAGATTTCTATGCTTAAATATTTTATACCTGAATAAATGTAGATTTTTAAAGTTTGAAAAATTTAGATTTTTATACTTCAAAAAATTTAGATTTTTGTACCTCAAAAAAATTAGATTTTTGTATTTAAAAAAAAAAAATTAAATTTTCGTACTTTAAACAAATTTAGATTTTTAAAGGAAAAATATAGATTTAAAAACCTTAAATAAATTTGCATTAAAAATAAACTTGAATTAATAAAGATTTTTAAAAAATGTAAGTAAATGTCGATATTTGTATATGTGAAAAATCGTCATACCGAGGCATCTCTATTTTAACATTTTTGACAAAATGTATGCCAAGATAATAGTAACAAGACTGAAACCAGTGATAGAACCACAGCTGGCAGAAAAACAGATGTGATTTAGGAGAAATAGAAGCTGCACAGATGCAATCTTTACACTTGAACAGGTAATAGAAAAGAACATTGAATATAATAAGAACTTATTTGTGGCATTCGTAGACCAGGAGAAGGCATTTGACAGAGTCGACAGACAATTATTATGGAAACTAATGGCAAGATATGGAGTAAGCGAACACCTCATCGAAGTGTGCAAAAGTTTATACAGGGATTGTAGAAGTGTAGTTAGAATAAATCAGGGAACATCTCATCCTTTCACAGTGACATCTGGAGTAAGACAGGGGTGTGTCTTATCACCACTGTGGTTTATCACCTACATCGACAGTATATGCAAGAATGCCAAGCCCATGAATGAAAATGTTAGTAAGATCAACGAATTACTCTTTGCAGATGACCAGGCCTTGATAGCAGATACAGCAAGGAAATTACAACAACATCTAACATCTATGAATGAAGAATGTAAAACAAATAATATGAGAATCAACACTGAAAAGACAGAAGTAATGTCAATAGGAAAAAAGAAGACAGATCTAAACATAGCAATAGAATTCAAAGGCATTAAACAGGCATCTGAGTTTAAATATCTGGGAACTATATTTACCGAAGATGGGAAATTGGATAAAGAAATTGACATTAGATGCAGTAAAGCAAACCAAGTATTGGGACATTTAGCTCCCCTCTTACAGCATAAGACAATCCCAATCAGCACAAAGAGACATCCTATTCAAAGCATATTTATTCCAACTCTGTGCTACCAGTGCCAGACATGGTCACTCACAACAAACCATAAAAGAAAATTAGTAACCACGGGAATGAGATGTCTGAGAAGGGCTGTAGGAGTGACCATAAGAGATAAGATCAGGAATGAGATCATAAGAGAAAAAGTTGGCATAGAACCAATTCTAAATTACATACAAAGACAGCAAGTGAAATGGTTTGCCCACTTAGAGAGAATGCCTTGTGACACCATACCATACAAAGCATACATGGAAAGAGAAGAAGGACAAAGAGCACGAGGTAGACCAAGAACAAGATGAAAGGATAACATCATAGAAACTCTACAACAGCACGATGTACCTATGGTCGAGGCGGCCAGAAGAGCTAGAAACAGAACCTTATATCTCCCTCGACACCCACAGCGGTAAAAGAGGAAGTGAAGAAGAAGAAGAAGAAGAAAAATCGTCTCGATACAAACACTACGGCGTCTTTTGGATAGGAAATTAATAAAAAGGCAGTTAACTTGTCATGTTGGGGTTTACAGCCAGGTTGTGAAGTCTTGTTTCGATGACGAGCCGCACGCGCTATTTGGAGGTGGCAGGTTCCATTCCTGGCACGGTGACTACATCTTTCGATTTTTATGTTGTCTAATGTGTCCTTTTATCTTTATACTTCTTTCTATGAGTGCCGAAGAGGGGGGGGGGGGGTGTTGCGTGGTCTCGAGGTATGGTGTCTGCCTCGAGTGCTAGAGGTCCAGGGTTCGGGCTCTGGTGAAGGCTGGGATTTTTCTGTTTACGTAGGCTTCTACTAATTTCTCCTGGTCTCTGGGTAGTGGGATTGTTTGCCCGTGTGTATTGTTGCAAACGTAACAAATCTATTTGCAGATGGAAATAGAAAAGAGAAGCCTTACGGCGCTGCCTGGGCTAAATGTGGAGTTAAAAATCTACCCACAAGTATTTCAGGATTCTCGTTGATGCAACAGAGTTAGTGCACTGAGCTGAGATTCTTCGGACTCAGGCTTGAGCTTGAAGAAGAACATAGCACTTATGGGTTACTACCCGTGTGCCATGATGTTGATCCGTTGTTTAAACTTTAAACATCTATAAGTGCTGACCAATGCATTGTCTGTTTGTTTATTTTATATAGATTCTTGATCGTAAACTAGTGAAAAACTAAATTTTTCAGCCAATACATTGACAGATTTACACTTAAAGTAGTCGGATTTCTTTCAGCTCTGACCCATGTCGTCTGAACAGACAGAAACAGTTCTCCGCTTGCAGGATAAATGTAAGTACCCACACTTATGTATATATATATATATATATATATATATATATATATATATATATATATATATATATATATATATATATATTAGTTGCGTATTACAGGATGTTGCAGAACCAACCCTAGCACTTTCTGGCTGTTGCGGTTTTTCTAAGCAAATTTATGTCCAGTAGTTTGCCATTGCTTTCTGGACGGTCGAAACCATCGCAAGACAAACCGTCCGCAGCAGGGATCGAACCCGGCACCCCGACATTACGAAACGCGTTCGTAACCACAGACGCCGATATATATATATATATATATATATATATATATATATATATATATATATATATATATATATATATATATATATATATATATATATATATATATATATATATAGAAATTCAGCTGACATCACGTGAGTTAAAATGCTTTCGTAAAATGGCAACCCCACTTGAGTGCATTGTCACAGAGTTATGCAAACCAGTAGAACCCCTGCCCCCACTACACATACAGTTGAATGGTTCTGCCCTGAATCAAGTTAGGGAGTTTAAATATCTAGGAAGTATGATCACAGAAGATGGTAGAATTGACAGAGAAATAGAAACCAGATGCCAGAAAGCAAGTGCACTTATATATCAATTATCACCATTATTAAGACATCCAAGCATAACTATGAGTGCAAAGAGACAGATTATTAATAGCATATTCATTCCAACATTAAGCTACCAGTGCCAAACATGGTCACTATCTAAAGCCCATATACGCAAAATCACCACCTGCGAGATGAGATGCCTAAGAAAAGCAGCCAATCTAACCATCCGAGATCGAGTGAATAATGAAACTATTAGGCAAATTGTGGGAACGACACCTTGTTCTAGATTCATCGAGAAACAGCAGATCAAGTGGTTTGGCCATCTCGTTAGAATGCAGCAAGATCAAAAACCATCAGAAGCACTACATCTCAGAAGATCAGCTACAAGAGTAAGAGGACGGCCACGGAAATCATGGATCGACAACATTAAAGACACTCTTCGCCTTCACGGCATGACAATAGTCAGTGGCAGCCAACGTGCACTGGATCGCAAATTATTCCTCCCCACGCCGCTTAACGGCAGAAGTGGTTTATGATGATGATGATGATTCACTGCTAAACAGCTAAACACACTATTGCAAGGACGATAGAACTGATACAATCATCTAAACTTTCTCCATCAGCTGGACCAAGTGAATCTTACCGCTATGATCATACCCCAGCCTGCGTCTTGTGCCAGCACTGCGGCATCTTGGTGACAACTACGATCACCTATGAATCTGGGTTACTCACTTGGAGTGTGTCTGCCATGATGTGTTTGACCGGGTGAGGAGAAGTTCGTGATTTTTTCTTGCACGATGCAAATATTAATTTTTGTAAATGTATAATTACTTTTTGCTTAAAAAAAAAGCTTTTACTGCCAATACTACTGCGATCACTACAACTACTGCTAGTGTTATCACTACCACCATTCTAATACTTCTATTACTACCAAATCTACTACTGCTGCTGATGCTGTTACTACTACTACTACTACTACTACTACTACTACTACTACTACTACTACTACTACTACTACTACTACTACTACTACTACTACTACTACTACTACTACTACTACTACTACTACTACTACTACTACTACTACTACTACTACTACAATAAAGGCCAAGACTGCAATAACCATAAGGCCCCAAATCATTAGGCCCCAACACCCCCCACCCCTTTTTCATGCCATTTCCCCCACTCTTTTCCGTACCACACCCGATTCGTCCATTTGAATACAGGCAATATGTGGAAGTTGATTATTTTTATTTCACTAAGCAACAGTTCCTTAGCATGCACCTTGTTAATGACAAATACCGTAAACATAATATTATACTTACATTCATCATCATCATGTGCCCTGCCAACTAGCATAGGCGCTCATGCGTCTCCACAGATCACGATTCCTGGTTGCCTGTAACAGCTCTCTTGATGATATCCCTCCTTGCCATCGTTTCAGTCCATCCAGCATCGTCTATCTTGGTCTGCCTCTACCCCTTTTCCACTGATCTTTCCAGTTGTCACGATGTTCTCCAATCTTCTTCTTCGCGTTCACCAGCTGTACACTCTGGCGAAAAGTTCTGGTTGCTCGTCCACTACTGAACTGCAGTCCTGCTCCAGAACCTGAGTGTTGCATGTGCATCAGTTTTACAGATCTCATTCTCTTGAATACAGACTGTTGGTTCCTTGCCTCTCCGGCAGATGCACTCCGACTTCAAAGGAAGCTCCCCAATTAGTCGACTCTTACGACATGCTTTTGGGGAGGCAGTGGGTCTATTCTTGTTTTCCCCACAATGGGGCCCCGGAACCCACACGGGAGTATGTCTTTTCTCATTATGTGGTTAAAGAACAGCGTTTGTCTTTTTCCTATTGTTGTCTACAGAGATCTACTTTCATTAGCCTCTTTCAAGCAATCGTTGTTAGTTACTCTGGCCGTCCAAGGTATTCATAACATTCGTCTCAAAAACCACATCTCTGTTGCTTCCAAATTCTTCTTAATTTGTTCACTGACATTCGAAGATGCGCTGCCCCTATTTACATTATGAAATGTATAGCCAGACACATAAAATGAAAGAAGTATATAAGTTAAGTTAGTTGCGTATCCTTTTCATAGTTAGGTTAGTTGCGTATCCTTTACAGGACGTTGCAGAACCAACCCTAACAGCTCCTGGCTGTTGTATGGTTTTTCTAAGCAAATTTACATCCAGTAGTTTGTCATTGCCGCTGGACGGTCGGCTTTCTTGATACCACTGTCGAAACTAACGCAAGGCGCATGGCCCGCAGCTGGGATGGCCGGCATCCCTGTATTGGGGAGCGTTCGCATCGACTTAGCCACAGAGCCGACATCCTTTTCATGACGTTGGAGAATTTTTTAGCTGTTGTGGTTTTTTTTAGCAAATGTTACTTTCAGTAGTTTGCCATTGCTTTCTCAGTGGTCAGCTCTCGTTCTGTTGCCGAATCGCAGGCAGCTGGGATCGAACCCTGGACCTATTACATAGAGGCCGAAGACGAAGGCACATACAGGTATGATTTTTAAAAAAGGAGGGGGGGGGGCAGATGAGGCCCCTTGAACATTTTCTAGGGGATGGGATTCAGCCTGCCTAGAAGGTTACCCGGGCCCCCAAGTTCCAGCACCTATGATCAACTCGTGACCAACCCGACACCCAGTTATTTCATATTGATAAACATAATATCTATGTTTATCAATGTTACCATCCCATAGAAATAGACAGAAACGGTAGTTACTACTACTACTACTACTACCGTTACTGCTGCTAATGCTACTGCTGCTGCTACTACTACTACTACCAACACTACTACCACTACCACCACAACTACTACTACTACTACCACCACCACCACCATCACTATCGCTGCTTCCACTACTACTACTACAACTATCGCTGTTACTGCTGCTGCTGCTACTACTACTACTACTACTACTACTACTACTACTACTACTACTACTACTGCTGCTGCTGCTACTACTACTACTACTACTACTACTACTGCTGCTGCTGCTGCTGCTGCTGCTGCTGGTGCTGCTGCTACTACTACTACTACTACTACTACTACTACTACTACTACTACTACTACTACTACTACTACTGATGCTGCTGCTTTCGATGATGATGATGCCGCTGCTGCTAATTTTACTGCTGTTACTACTACTACATTATGTTCATATATGGCTTCCCCACTTCCACTGTTACTCCGTGTCTGCAGGAACCCCTAAGAAATAAAACATTCACTGATTTCTATCTCCAGGTGTTGGTTTGGTTGTTGTCTGATCCCGTTCTGTATGAGACACACAAAAGATGTCGTACACACATGTCCGGTCTGCCATACTGTCCTGGGAGTATACCGGAATTGTTAATTCAGTCATCAACATTCTTACCAGCAAGGAAATCAAAATTAAAATGTTGAGAGCATGCATCTTCCCTGTAGCAAACATACAGATGTGAGTCGTGGACTATCTCCCAGTCCCTAAGACAGACAATAAGGGCTTTTGAGCTAAAATGCTATTGAAAAATTATCAGAATACCAAAGACAAAGCAAAGAAGAACTATAGACATTTTAACAGATCTTAAGAGATCTTAACATCAAAGTAGACTGGTTAGTAAATAGCATCTTGTCTCGGAAACTGAAATAACAAGCACCCTTGCCAATTAAAAAAAAAAATAATAGCAAAAGGCATGGTACGAGGAAGGTAGAGGCAGGGGTGGACCATCACGAATATGGGCACAGGATATAAGTGACTCCTTGAATATGAAAGTAGACGAGGCGGAAGAGCTGGCGAGAGACCGAGTTTCTTTCAGACAGACCTGTGATGAGAGCGACTTTCTGCAAAAGACCTGCTATATGATGACATTCATACAGAAAACAGGTGGTGACTTGTACCGAGCTGACACTATGAACGAATATTTGATTGACTAATTGATTGAAAGTGAAATGTATCTTAAAACTCTGACTAAGACAAAGACACACAGAAAACAAACTACTGTTTCCACCAAGGCAGTGACCAGACGTGATCAATTGAGCATGTATAAAAAGCGTTAGCATGTAACGATTACACAAATATATTTTGTCCTTTTTAGGACGAAATTTTTTTTTTGAAGCCCCACCCTGGCTTTTTCCAGGGGCCGCAATATAGGCAGGCCATAAATATGGCCAATTGTCTGAAGGCGGTTTCTGGGACCTCTCCACGGCGATTCTCGTGCACATGGTGGCACTTTGTGTCATCGGGTGTTTATCGCTTATGTGATGTCCTAGTGGGGTAGAAAGTCAGTCAGTCAGTCAACGATTACACTGGAGAGGGTATCGTGTGATATTTTCCTCCACGTCACTATGCTGCTAGGAATTTGCGTGCGCAGCTAGCATAGCAGTACTAGTGACTGATAGATTTCACAGTGTATTTTTTTTAATGAGTGGCGCAAGGATTCTTTTAGCCATGTTCGAGATGTAAAGCGAATCACGTTTTTGTTATAAATAGTAAACATTAATAATAATTAGAAAAATAATTTATCAGTGGAAAGTGGGTTGTGGGTAGACATGACAATCAATGTCACAATGGGATAGGGTGGGGGAGGAATTGTCCGTGGTGAGATGACCAAGCCTGGTTTGCCCCTCGTTCTGAAGATTCTAGGTTTGTTTCACGGACTGAGGAGCGGCTGACCAAACGGTTAGAACGCTATGCTTTCATGCAGGGGACCCAGGTTTTAATCCTCGGTAAGGCTGGCATTTTTTTCCGTTGGGGCAATAATAAAACCTTACCTGCACAGTCGTGGCGACAGCACTAACCATGCAGGCGTAAATCCTCAGACTTAAAGACTCCCTGCCTACACCGCAGAAACGGTATGTAAATGAGTAGACGATTTTACATGACCAGGACATCACACAAGAGATAAACACCCGATGACACAAAGTGACACCATGTGGATGAGGATCACCCGTGGAGAGGTCCCGGAAACCGCGTTCAACCATTAGACCATATTTATGGAAGGGTTATATTGCGGCCCCTAGAAAGAGCCAGAGTAGGGCTTCAAATAAAGAAAAAGTACATCCCACAAGGAGATGACTGGTTGAATTCTAGGTATATAAAGGCAGTAGATGACAGTTCTACGGACACCGGGAGGCGGCCTTGGCACAATCAGGGACGGTGTGCCTGACAACCAGCAAAGAACCCTCAGAAACAAGATCAGTAACCGATGGCAGATCCAAAACAGAACTCGTCAAGTTAAAGAGTCACAGAGTTTTATCATTTTTGTTTCTAAATATGCGATGCTATGCAGTTACACGGACTGTGGTATTCGGTTTACACATTTTTTATAGAGATTTATTGAGTATCGGTCTCTGAAGCTACGATGTTCGTGCTTTGAGTAATACTCGAGAATAAAGACCGGACGCAATGACATTACTCATTGCAATTTATACTTGAAATCTTTTAGACTGTTCTCACACCAGTTGCGCATTGGGCATTTTAAACTAGACTCACGGGTGATGTGGTCAACATCCCGTCGACCGCCTTTACTTTTCACGACTTTACCTTTTGCCCATATATGCACCCGTATTAAGTATCATATCAGACCGTCTTATTTTCGTATTTGAAGCGGGGTATTTTTTGTTCTTGTTGTTTTGTTTGTTTGTTTGATAAGGACTTTGTTAATTCTTCAAAAATGATCACAATAGATGCACATTTGTTTTCCTTGTTGCTGCTTGGGGTTTAGGGGTTATGAATGTAGTTTGATAATTCTGATATACACTGTTAGAGTCAAATGCAGTTAATTTGGCCACAGCCTAACATTGTGTTGATTTTGATAATATGATCACTGACCATTAAGAAAGAATCATTAAAAAACCAGACACTTCAGGCTGGGTTAAATTCCCCATAAATGTCACCTTTCCGACTTCTCGATAGTGACCTGTTAACGAGATGCTTATTTAATGCTGTTGGCATTTTCTACGCCAGTGCAGACATTTAGCAGGTCAAGATGTGAACACATTAACTAACAATAATAGCATCTGGAGGAAGGGTAGGGGGTTCCTTGGAGCTAAATAGTTTTTTTTTAAAGCCAATTTGATGTCAGTTTCCTGCAAGCCTCAGTGATAAAGGTCTCATGGGTCGTGGCATGAGTCACATGAGTTGTTTCTGGAAAAGGTGGGGGGGGGGGGGGGGGTGTTCAGTCCATTAAATGCTTCACCCTGTTCATGTTTACTTTTAAGCTTTCTGTATGTCAGAAAAGAAACCCAATTTCACCATGTAGACACATAAATGTTTGTTTGAACAAATTTATCTGTGACCTATGAATTTATTTTTTTCGAGATATTTTTTCTGGAATTTATAACAGGGTCATTACTTTTTTTCAGTGTTTCTAGGGCGAAAAGGGTTAAATGATGTGTCTTTTTTTTTTTTTTTTTTTTTTTTTTTTGCTTCTTTGGGGGAAAAGGGTTAAAGGATATGCAGTCAACTTGAAATAAAAATTGTCTTGCAGCTATTTGTGTATCTGCACTTGTTTATTTATACTGAATAAACGAGATGACCATACTATTTGATCTTTATATGTGGCTACATACTCTGTGGCGATACACCTGACGAGATACAACGAGATCTGCCAGGCATTCATGTGTGCATTATAGTGTGTGTAAACTAAAGGACCCTCTTCCAGGCTTTCGGGTGTACTGGACATATAGGAATTAGACAAACTTTGATGCATGGTACTGGGAACGTACGTTCCACATACCATTACGCAGACACGTCCTTCTACTTTTTAGATAGCTGTTGTCGGAATGCACCCTTTCAGAAAAACTTGGGATGCATTCGCCATTATATTCCATCCTAGATACTGTAGGAGATGTCTCTTCCTTGGTTGTATTTACACCAGGCATGTCTCCAGGGGGGGGGGGGGGCGAGGATTGCCTGTGTTGCTGTATCTCTTTCAACGTGATTTTGATACTAACTTTAGGGTTTTACATGGTGAGGTCCCAATCTCTTCCATGATGGCCAGCCGTGTTCACTATTGTGTCCTGTACACGCCTCACGTGTGCCACGCACTCTGCTGTTTCGCTTTACAAGCCATGGATCTTTATAGATTCTTCCGCCTTGTTCACATACCCAGTCTTCGTGTTCTATGGATGGAAATTTCCCTGTAGTAAGAAATTACTTCCACTTCACTCATGTAGTTTATCCAGTCAGTCAAGATTGTTGCCCTTGGTTTGGCCACCGTCATACACAATCAGCCAAGATTGTTGCCCTTGGTTTGGCCACCGTCATACACAATCAGCCAAGATTGTTGCCCTTGGTTTGGCCACCGTCATACACAATCGGCCAAGATTGTTGCCCTTGGTTTGAACACCGTCATACACAATCAGCCAAGATTGTTGCCCTTGGTTTGGCCACCGTCATACACAATCAGCCTAGATTGTTGCCCTTGGTTTGGCCACCGTCATACACAATCAGCCAAGATTGTTGCCCTTGGTTTGGCCACCGTCATACACAATCAGCCTAGATTGTTGCCCTTGGTTTGGCCACCGTCATACACAATCAGCCTAGATTGTTGCCTTTGGTTTGGCCACCGTCATACACAATCAGCCTAGATTGTTGCCCTTGGTTTGGCCACCGTCATACACAATCAGCCTAGATTGTTGCCTTTGGTTTGGCCACCGTCATACACAATCAGCCTAGATTGTTGCCCTTGGTTTGGCCACCGCCGTACACAAGCAATATCCATGGAGCTAAACATGAGCTCGATAAAGAGAAGGCAACCATAGAGGATCCTGGACTATCCTTTAGGATATGGCTGTCACTCAACGTGAGGTACTACCCCTCTCTCTTTAAACGACACCACAGTACAGTATATGCTGTATCTTTGGAAGTCACATACTGTTTTTTTTTACTGTGATTATTGTCTCAAATTGGGTTTCTACTTTGAAACCACCTGGAACTGAAAGAATCAGGACAAATGCTGAAGCTTTGATGCCGTAGAACTTCTTCTTCTTCTTTGTTTACCATCTGTAAGCTTCGACAGAAAGTCCTGGTTTTTCGTCCATTTGGACTTTGGCTTTGTCACAGGGCCTAGTGTACATCCGTTTTACTGGTTACTTACTTGTGTGCAGCTGGTTGTTCCTTGTCGCTTGGGCAGATGTACTTCAACTGGTAAAAAAAAAAACGTCTCCAAATTGTCAACTCCTAGGACATGCTTGTTGGGAAGTCAGTGGGTCTATTCTTGTTTTCCCCCACAATGGGTTCCTTGAACACACACGAGAAATGAAATAGAGCAAGTCTAGAAGTTTTCGTTTTTTGTGCCAAGGACTGTTAAGATATTTAAAATATTTGACAGTACATGCCCTGTGAGAATGTTAGCACATAAAACAACAGGT